GTTGAATGGGACCTGCAGTCCTGGTGTACTGAGGAAACTTCAGACTGATTTTCACACTGGTTGCACCAATCTACACTCCCACCAGCAGTGGAGAAGGGTTCCTTTTCCCCCACAACCTCACCAGCATTTGTTATTGGTTGATTTCTTGGTGATAACCATTCTTTCTGGGGTGAAATGAAATCTCAGTGTTGTTTTATATTTGCATTTCTCAAATGACTAATGATCTTGAACATTTTCTCATGTATTTACTTGCCATTTGCATTTCTTTATCCGGGAAGTGTGTATTCATCTCAGATGTCCATTTCTGGACCTGGTCTTTGAATTTTGGAGGCCTGAGTTTTAAAAATTCTTTATATGTTCTAGACAGATGTCTTTTGGGGAAATCCATTCTTAACTTAGAAATTATTTTAGATGCCTTTAGTTTCTGACATCCATCACTGTGAACTCAAGCAATCATCTTGATGAGGTAGGACTGGTCAGTGGACATTTCCAGTGGAGGGGTTGGACAAACCTACTGTTGCTGAGACAGGATGCAGATGAAATGCTGATGGAGTAGTTAACACTCAGTGAAGCAGGTGCTGTATTAGTCTCATGTTACACGTGCAGAAACTGAAGCCCAGCATGGCCAAGTGGCTAGCACAGTGGCAGTCTTGGTAGGCAGAGGTACTAGGTTTGGACTAAAGGCAATTTGGCTTCCCAATTCCTGTTATATTCTTTTTTCTTTTAGAGAATGACACTGACAGTGTATTAGTTTCCTATCTTTTAAAAAAATTTTTGTTAGTGTATCTTTATTAGTACACATTTGCAGTAAGTACACAATGATTACTTTTATAGTGGGGAACGTGTACATGTACGTGACACATCTTAAGTTTTTTGTCCCCTTCGCTTCTCATCTTTCCCTGCTCCCTCCAACTCTTAATCATCTTCCCATTTGAAAAAGCTCTATTTTCATTTTTCTTTGATTCCCTTTTAAAATGCTTTTTCCTTTCCTTCCCTCCACTCCATCTCTTAATTCTCTTTTTATTTGAAAAAGAGCTCCCTACTTTCTACTATCTGTCCCTTATTTTGCTCCTTACTTATTTCTGGGTTTATCATGTAAGAGAAACCATGCAATATTTAAACTTGTGTGTCTGATTTATTTCACTTAACATTATGATCTTGAGGTGCATCCTTTTACCTATAAATGCCTCAGGTTTCTCCTTCTTTATGGCAGAGTAGTACTCCATTGGGTATAAGTGTCACATGTTCTTTATCCATTCATCTGTTGGACATACAGATTGTTTGCAAACTTTAGTTGTTATAAATTGTACTACTATAAGTATGGGTATGCCTATATCATCACTGTAATATGACAACTT